TTTAGGCTCCCTTTTCAAAGAAGTCTGGAGTTTTTTTCGTCTCAGCCTACAGAATAGAGTAGTTAGGTGCTGGGACAGCTTAAAAGACTGCCTTTTTGGATCAAGTATAAAGGGAATGTGAGCCTTCTGGGACTTGGGCAGAGTACATTGCTCAGGTCATCTTGACCTCCAGGGATGGCTAGTACTGTTTCTCCCATAAAAGCTGTTTTCCCTGAACTCTCCAGGGACAGAATGTCAGAGCAAGTAGGGTCCAGAGAGCCCATAGATGATCCCTGTTATTTTACAACTGGGGAAACTGAAATCAAAACTGGAAAGTTAATTATTTGTTGCCTATTTGTAGCAGTGTCCAGGTATTAGACTTCAGTGTTATTCTCTTTCCAGTAGACTAGGAAGCCCTCAAGTACTCTGTACCCACTGCCACAATGCCATGAGCATATCTTAGGCTGAATATCTATTGTGACCCAGGGCATCAATAAAAGATTTTTGGGGAGACAGACTTCACTCAACTGGAACTTGTGCGTTAGCTCTAGGGACTAGTTTTCATTTGGGCCAACTCTCACATTGCTATTAAGTCACATTCAGAGTCCCGTTCTTGCTAAGATTGAACTTACTCTTAACCTTACGAAAATCAAATAGTGCATTAGAGGGTGTTAATCTATATACCTTTAAATAAGGTCCCCTCCTTTATTCACTGACTCACACATCCATGCATTCATTCACAGATATTCATTCAACTCATACTCTATGCCAAGCACCATATGCAGCACTGGGAAAGTAACGCACACAGTCCTGTCTTTATCACCCATGGAAAGTAAAAACATATTTAACCCTAGTCAAATTTCAAATATACACATTTCTTATCTTACCTGACTCACCTTTTCACACTCTTAACCTTGTCTTTAATGAAGAAAGTTCATAATTTTAATAAAAGTATGTTTCAATCTTTTTTGGTCAGTGTTTTTGTTGTTGTTTTGCCCATTTTAAAAATTGAGCAAAAGATGTGAATAGAAGCTTTGCAAAAGAAAATATCTGAATGGAAAATGAGCACATGTAAAGATGTTCAGCATTATTAGCTAGCAGAGAAACACAAAGTAAAATTTTAGTACAATACCAATGCCTCTCAACCCGCAGGGCTAAAATTTAAAAATTACAACTGACGATACCAAGTATTGGTGAGAATGTGAAACAACTAGGACCTTCATACATTACTTGGTGTTAGTGTAAGTTGGTATAGCTAATTTGGAAAATCATTTGACAGTATCTACTAAAACTAAATATATGTTACTTTTTATCCCAGAATTCCACTCCTAGATATATATCCCAGAAAAATAAGTGTTTATGTTTACCAAAAGATACACAGAAGATTGCTTATGGCAGCATTACTAAGGATATCAAAAATTTGGAAACAACCCAAATGTTCATTAAAAATACAGCATGTAAATACATTATGCTATATTTATACAAAGGAGTACTATACAATGGTGAAAATTAATGACTCCATGCTCCAACAAGATGAATCTCTTAGGACTTATGTTGAGTGAAAATATCAAAATACTGAACAGTATATCATGCATTGTTTCATTTATATAAAGTTCCAAAGCAGATTAAACAAATCTAAGGTGCTAGATATTAGAATAATGGTGTTATCGACTGGGAATCCTAGAAGTTGGCATAGATTCTTAATATGTTCTGTAAACTCAGTTTGGATGGTGGGTATATGGATATATACAAATGTAAAAAATTCTTTGAATTGCACATGTAAGGTTTATATACTTACTTGTGCAATGTAAGCTGTATCTCACTAAGAAAGAAAAATAAAATACGTTCTCTTCAGAAATTAAAGAAAGTGAACAAAGGAATTGAATTTGCAGGTGCTACATAACTTATAGAGGCTTACTGAGTTGTTACACACTTTAGTGTCTTTCTCCCAATTCATCCATGGACAAATAGTCAGTTGACCTCTGTTTATGGCGCGGACACCTGAGTCTCACCTACCCTTCTATTAAGTCATTTGTCTTACTATCATAAACATAAGTAAAGGTCTACTAGCCATCTCACTCATAATGTCCAATTGATGGGATTTGGAGTTTTCCAGTGTTGCAATGAAAGTGTCAAGGAAATGGTCTCTCATTAAATATTTGCCCAGAATGTATTATAGGTTTGAGTGAAATATAAAAGATGCCAGTTAAACCACTTTCTACAGCCGCTGAGGGGACTTCTTCAGAATTGCACCGTATTTGCTGAACTGTCATTTCCTACTACATTTAGACAAACTCGTGTTTAAGGATTCATAGGTTTCTGTGATTGTAATAGCAAATCATAATTTAGTTTGTGTGTAATTCTTACCAATCTTGTAAAAGTGCCTCATCTTAATTTAATGTCTCAAATTAATTATAATTGAATCAATCAGCATCTGAGAATTTCTGAGAGGTTTTGTAACATCTCTTGGAAGAATTAATGTCTCCTGCAGGGTGTTGTGAAACAAGGGATTTTAATCATTTACAGCCTTTTCTCACCTTTAAGTGTGCTGCAGATTCAAAGTATATATCTCCACAGTAAAATCTAGATTTTTGGCTCACTAAAAAAAAAAAAGAAAGAAAAGAAAAAAATGTGTGTCCCATCCCACCAACTGACAGTGTTTCCAGCTATTAATAGGCTGATCCTTGTATACTTGTTTCTCTGATATTTTTAGAGTCTGCATTGGAGTGCATTAAATTGTTTTTTTCCCTCTTCTTAAAGAAGTAATTATTGAGACTAGATTCTGCCAACAACATCATGCAAAATAAAATAATAGCTTGGAATTGTTTAGGACTACAATATTACTACTTTCACATTGTTACTGTGAAGAATATTTTTAGTGGTTTATTTCATGTAAACAGAGCATTCTATGTAGCCCATCATTACATTAGTTTATGTTTACTGTACTTCCCTTAAAATTGCCTTTGTAGGGGGTACAGAATGCATATTTTCTTTCAACAAGGGAATACAATGCACTGGAAAGTCAAATCAAGAGAAAACCACTTTAGGAAATCATTACAGCCAAACGTATGAAATTGCACCCACTTCACTAATTACTGCTAATCTAATTTTATTTTTAGCTTCTAAGACAACACCCTGAAAACACACTTCTCCTAGATGATCTATATAAAGTTATTTTACAATCCCATTGAAATTAACCTAGTAATAGTGTCAAAGACAAGGAGAATCTACCTTTGGAATAAGGGCTTTTTTTTTTTTTTTTTTTTTTTTTTTGAGACAGAGTCTTGCTCTATTCCCCACCCCAGGCTGGAGTGCAGTGGCACCATCTTGGCTTAGTGCAACCTCTGCCTCCTGGGTTCAAGCGATTCTCATGCCTCAGTCTCCCAAGTAGCTGGAATTACAGGTGCATGCCACCACACCCGGCTCATTTTTGTATTTTTAGTAGAGACGGGGTTTCTCCATGTTGGTCAGGCTGGTCTCAAACTCCTGACCTCAGGTGATCTGCCTGCCTTGGCCTCCCAAAGTGCTGGGATTACAGGTGTGAGCCACCACGCCTGGCCAAATAAGGGTTTTTAATCTGAGGCTGGACACCATGGCTCATGCCTGAAATCCCAGCACTTTGGGAGGCTAAAACAGGAGGATTGCTTGAGCTCAGGAGTTCAAGACCGACCTGGGCAACATAGTGAGATCTTATCTTTATAAAAAATTTAAAAATTAGTCAGACATGTTGGCATGCACCTGTGGTCCCAGCTACTCAGGAGGCCAGGAGGCCGAGGTGGGAGGATCACTTGATCCGAGGATGTTGAGGCTGCAGTGCACCATGTTCACCCCACTGCACTCCAGCCTAAGCAACAGAGCGAGACCTTGTCTTAAAAAAGGAAAAGAAAGAAAGAAATTTTTAATCTGACTCTCTACTTATAACACATCACCTCTGCTGCAGTCCATGATGAAGATGTTACCTATAAATCTATGCCAAGGATATATGGTGTTAATAGGCCCAGATGCCAGTCCTGCATACTGACTCCCAGATAGCAGTTTGGTCATGTAAAGAAGGACTCAAATTTTAAGAAGGATAAAGTCCTGACCCATGAGATTACTTTTGAGTTAGACTTCTAGGGATTCAGAAACTGACTTAGCACTTCTGAATCCTAGCATTTCTAAGTCTTCAGAAAATTCTTGCCAAAGAAAATAATTTTTTATGGCACTTAATAGCATATTTACAATCAGGTTGGTACACAGGTAATTGCGGGTTTTGCTATCACAGTAATGGCAAAAATTACTTTCTTTCAAAACTCAACTAAAATGCAAACAACTTCATGTTTCTCCCCTCCTTAATCTCAAAAGCATTAGATGTTCTGTGTTGGATTCTGATAGGAACTTAAGAAACTCTGCATTTAGTAGTAATAGGATTAATTATAATCATGTGTGTGTCTGTGTGTTTGTGAATATGTGTCTCTGTGTGTGTTAGTATCCCTCTAGAGCTGTGAAGTCCAGCGTGGTTGCCACTTGCAATATTCAGCATTTATTTGAATTTGAATTTATTAAAATCGAAAACACAGTTTCTCATTTATACTATTCTCTTATGGCTAGTGGCTCCTCTTTCTGACGCTGAAGAAAGTTCTGTTGGATAGCACGGCTCTCCAGAGTGAGCACTGTGGGGCAGACAGTATTTCTCATGTATATCACAATGCTTAGCACATAAGAGGTCAGTAAGTGATTGATGATTGAATAAACAAGTAAATTCTTTTTATATGGCAGGCAATAAATAATATTTATTAATAAAGGAATTCAACGAATAATTACCTAAAGCATTGCTGACTTTGATCTCCTGATTTTCAGCCTTTCTCTGCTTTTGATGCCTTAGATCGCGTCTCTTTTCTTGATTAATGACATTTCTTAATTAATGTTCCTTCTTTATTCTAACCCCTTTCAATCTGCAGTCTAAATTTCTCAGATAGTGATCTTCCTCAATAATGTTACTGTACTTATTCATATTTTTCCTTTGCTAAAATATCTTACAGTGGGACTTCTACTTCAGGCCACACTGGAATAGATGACACCAGACATTCTCTCATCATATACAACTGGAAAATGAAACAATATTTAGAAAACATTCATTTGCCAAAATTAGACAAAGGACAGAACGAGATTCTGATCCTGGAGAGTAAGAAAACAAACAAGGCGATCAAGTTTTTCTTGGAAGAACTCCAATACCGTGGTGAAAGGAGATGGAACCCAAGCAGAGAATGGCAGCTTGTATTCTGACAAGCCAAGGTGATGAGATCTTGTTGAAAATCCAAGGCCTTGAACAGAGGCACCAGAATGTCACACCTTCCTTGCGTGGATAAACTATCTCTAGAGTGAAGGCTACTCTAGACTCATCCTGGCAAAGCTTACACGTAAGCCTCAGATGCTCAAGAGGATCTAAACGTAACTTAATTGTTTGCCAAAATAAATGCCTTTTAAAGAAAACTAAAATTTAGACACCAAACAAAATGTTTAAATTTCTAGACATATGAGGAAGCAGGAAACTGTGACCCTCAATTAAAACAAATAAACAAACAGAAACAGGCATGGAAGTGTCAGATATGAGACATAAATAATGGGATTAAGAGTTAAAAACTTTAAAACAGCTATAAAAATGCTAAGGACTTTAAAGAAACTTAATGTGAGGCCAAATTAAAGCAATAAAAATTACCAAATGGGAATTCTATAGTTTAAATATACAACATTGAGAATTAAAAATTCACTCAATGGACTTAAGAGTGGATTGACTACTACAGAAGAAAAGAACAATGAACTTGAACACATATATTAGAAACTATCCAGTTGAAGCAGAGAAAGAGAGAAAAGGTAGGTGCATGCACACACACACACAAAATGAACAGAAATTAGTGACCTGTGAGACAATGGTAGATAGCCTAATATACATGTTACTATGTAACTATCTTTAAAGGGGTGGTTAGAGACTGTAACATATTTGACAAAATAATAGCTGAAAAGTTTCCAATTTTGATGAAAACTATAAATCAACAGATTCTGGATACCCAGCAAATATGTAGCATGACAAACATAAAGAAAACCACCTCAAGGTATGTCAGAATCAAATTGATGTAAACCAGAGATATTGAGAAAATTATAACAAAACAGAGGGAAAAAAAGGCAACATTACATACAAAGTAATGAAGATAAGAATGACTCCTTGAAAACAATGCAGGCCAGAGGACAATAGAATGAGAATTTTCGTGTGTAGGAAAAAGGTAATCATCACCCTGAAATTATATATCCAGTAAATGAAAATGAAAAGTAAAATGAAAGTAAAATACATAGATTTTCACTTAAAAGAAGTTGAGAGAATGAATGGCCAGTAGATCTGCACTGAGAGAAATAGTAAAGAAAATTCTTTATGCTGAAGGAAAATGAAATCAGATGGAAATTTAAATCAACAGAAAGATATGTAAAGGGAAATAGAATTAATATATGAGTAAATATAAAAGAGATTTTTCTCAATTTAAATGTCTTTCAAAGATAATTGGCTACATAAAGCAATAATAATAATAATAATAATAATGTGTTTTAGGGTTTGTAACACTCATAGATGTCAACTATATGACCAAAATAGTACAAAAGATGAGAGGAAAAAAAATGAAAGTAAGACTTATTGGTAAAACAGTATTAATATTCTTCAAAGATAGATTGTGAGATTTAAGATACATATTATAAACTCAGAAGAGACCACTGGAAAGAAACTAAAATGGTATACCAATCAAAACAACGGAGAAGATAGAATGGAACACTAAAAATAAGTAAAAAGAGAGGTGCTAGGAAAGGAGGTAAAAAGCAATGAAGAATAGGTAGAAAACTAGAAAATAAATAGCAGAATGGCAGATTTTAAAATCAGGCAATTTGATATTATTTTAAATATAGATCATGTAAAACAAAGAATGGTTAAAAAGAAGAAACTGTCTTAATGGATAATAAAGCAAAACTAAACTATATCATGCTTATAAGAAATACAGTTTAAAAATAAAGATGTAGATATGTTAAAAGAAAATACCATAACCCAAGCCAAGACTATTCTTAGGAATGCAGGATCCTCTGGTAGATTTTATTTCTGGCCAAGGTACATTCCTGAGGCCCAGACACATCCCTCCTATCCCTTTGGCTTGGCAGTTTAAAATTTCCTTAGATTTCACCATTCTTTAAATGCTCGCTTTGCCCAAGCTATTAAGAGTTGGTTTCTTTTCCATGAGACCAAAATCCAAGTAATATAGAACTTTAGGAATGTCTCCCCATACAGATTAAGGCCCTAACAAAAAGAGTGTTGCCCTGGCTCAAGTCCACCACTTCTACTGTGAGATATGTCGAGAATCACTTTCCTAGATGACTGTGCTCTTAAGTCATCACAAATAAACCTTGTTCATTAACACGTGAGTGGTTCGATTTCACTTGCAGGCCTTTTTGCCTTTTGGTCCTACGGATGGGGTAAAAAGCCATAGAGATTATGGTTAGAAAATGGTCTGAGATGAGCTTTGACAAATGATGACTGGGTAAGTAAACTTCTTATGATGGTGAAATTATTTTCTAACAACACTTAATGCAAGTGTGACATTAAGACCAGGGCGATTCATCATTAACTTAAATAACTTAATCTGGACCTTTTGAAGAAAAATCAGAAGAATACATAAAAGGATAATATTTTAAAATAAGGTGGCTTTGAAAGATTAAACTAGGCTGAACGAAAACTCCCAGATAATGAAGCCAATTTCAAAGGCAATAGCGGAAATCCAGTTGAACCCTTAAATTTTTGTTCACTTACACAAGGGAATTTATTGACAGAGATTAAGAGCCATCCTTGGTGATGGTGTAATCATCTTTTCATTTGTTGATGGGCAGATAATTGCATTTAAATATAAGAGTAGTAATGCTCTAAAGCTACCCAAAGTGCATCACAGGTGCAGCTACTAAAGCCAGCACTCCAGAAAATGAGTGTTCCTGGGCTGTATGCTTATAAAGGTAGAAATTCGGAAAGCACATAGAAACATAGGGAGAAAAAGAAAATGCACACAGCCTTATATTCTTCTATACTATTAGGAAAATAATGGTAATTACCTCAAAATATTGCTGTGAAAATTAAGAGAGAGAATTTATGTTAGAATCTGAAACATAAGAGGCCCTCCATAAATGTAAGCTATGCTTATTATTAATGTGCCATCTAGGGTCATATAATAGTCTTAGTTTAACTTCCCAGCAGCAAAGGTATGACAGTGAACAAGGTCGTACACAGGGTAACATTGGCTCAATCCACAGGACAGAGAGAGATGTCCCAGTCTGGACAAGGGAGATGGAATATTTACACCATGCTTCCATCAGTCATTGGTTAAAAGCTACCGCTGAGGCACCTACATTCCCAGGCATTTCTGGCAAAGCAGAGTCTGCAGCCAGCCTGGCAGAAGTCTTTCAACAGAGACGCAGGTGCTGGCTTTGGGAGGGAAAGCACACTAGGAATGGTGTGCACAGAAATGGTGAAGAGATGTGAGGGATACGGATGGAGCATCTACTACAATTTCCTTTCAGTTTCTTTTCTCTGCTTATGTTGTTTGTTTATATAGTTGAAAGAACATTATAAAATACATTATATTCCTCATGGAATGTAATATCCACAGTGGAAGAACTTTCTGGTTTTTGGTTTTTGGTTTCATCCCTGGTAGTACTCCTTGACCTGGAACAGTGACATGGCTGGCATTCAATAAATATTTGTTGAATAAATACAACTTTGTGATCTGCTTTTATGGTTCAACGTTATATGGCAAAAATCTCTTTCTGAAAATACAGTTCCTATTTTTGTAAAACTTTCCTCAGTACAGCACTCCTAGTTTGTATAACCATTTCGATTTGATATCATGTTTAGCTATCATAAATGCTGTATTCACAAACTTTCTCGATAAATTCACAGATATAGAATTACTGGGTGAGACCATACTCATGATTTTATAAAATATGGCTTTTCTTCTCTCAGATATTTTGACAAGCATGATCAACAGTATTGACTCTGAGGTGACCCTGAACTAAATCATTGGCAGCTGAAAATATTAGGCAGATCATATTCTTAACTCAGTCAATTCACCGTAAAGCAATAACGTTGTCAAAACTTCTGGTCAGAAGAGGGTCTTGAACTTTCAGTATATTATATATTTGGAACAAACATGACACATGTCTTAATGACCATCAAATCTCAAGCCCAAATGCTAGGTAGGGCTCTGTCCACAGGCATCAAAGCCACACAGGCCAGCAGCTCAGTGTGCCTGAACTGGTTATGTGAAGACACCTGCTGACAGCAGGATTCCCAAGTATTTCTTGTTTGATGAGCAGAGGAGGACAGTATTGCATACTTGAAAATGCTAGAGCTTTGTGTCCCTGAAGACAGTGGTGTGTGATTGGCGGTTTCAGGTCACTCTGATTGTATATTGACTCTCCTTTTGATAGCAGCTGCCAGATACCACTTGCAGAGTTCACATCCTGGCATCTTCTCCACCAGGTCAGCATGACATTTTTGTTCAAAGGGAGTCATCCCATCTCTGATTGCTGCATACCACTGGGCTCTGGTGGCTTCAACTCTTTCCCTATCTATTGGAACCTCTGAGCTGTTCCATTTCTTTCCCAATATGTGCATGGCTCCATTCATTCAACAATGCAGACACATTTCTGTGAGTTGCATGTCAGATATCCAACCCCCAGCAAAATCAGGAATGCTACCTTAAAAGAAAAAAAAAAAAGCTATCTATTCTAAGAATGCCTTTCAATTAAAATGTAGGCTAGATTTTCTGGCAGTAGTAGAGAAATTAACCAAACTAGTTTCATTTTCAGACTTCTTATTTTTCAGACTTATGTTTCAGAATCCAGCAATTTATATTTTCAAGTCCTTGAAAATAGGAACTGTCATGTACCATTTTTATGCATATATGCAAACATAGCATCTATAGTGTTTTGTATATGAGAAGCTTCTTGTAAATACCTTTTGATTTAAGTGAAAACAGCTTAATGAAAGTTTTTTTATTTGTTAAAAAAAAACTAGATTCCTTTGTGAAATGTGGGCAAAACAGACAGCTGGATGACTGATATTTTTCACTTTTCAGAAAGTACTGGCTTTGTGTCGAAAGGACTTTGGTCTTTTAGGTCTAATTCCATCTGCGGCACTCTAAGCACTATTTCAATTGCCCCTTTCAACTAGCCTAGAAAAATTCCATGAAGTTGAGTCCTGGCTAAGCTTTTAGATTGCTTTATGGCATTCTTTCCTTTCTTTGCACAGGTTGTCAGCATGTACTTTTTCTAAGCTTAAATAAACTACTTCTTTGCTTATAAGAAGTCATGTACAGTATATTGTACTTCTCAAGGGTAATATTCCTCCTCCTAGATATATTCCCCAAATGAGAGAACTGTAAACATCTGTTTCTGGCAAGCTAAGAAAGAGAAGCGATGTCAGAGCCAGCAACTTGCTTCCTATGGGAATAATTTCGGGTTTGTACACCTCCTTGACTGTTAATTTATAAACATGCTAACTATATTATTCTCCCCATCAAAAATTCATGCCAGTTTTGAGCAGTCTTGTGGAAACAAAAACAACATATAATAATCTAGAATCAAATTCTCAAGTTTCCATTAAGTGGAGTAGAGGTCAAGGAAAACTGAGCAAATGTTATATTGTCTCATGCATTGCACATCTAAATTATGTACAAATAGCACAAATAGAGTTTATACTATAGAAGTAAATTATCTTGCTCATATCATCTCCAGGTAGAATAAGAAAACCCAGCCAGAAGTGGCCAGCAACTAGTGGGACTGGTTAGACAGGGGCCGGGAAGCTGAGTGTGCAAGATGAAGTCTGATTATTGAGGACCAGATAACTACTTAATTGTGAGAGCAGCCAGGATTTGAAACCCTGGGTCTGGGCCATGTGCATGGAGTTTGCAGGTCTTGGTAACCAAAAGACAGACAAAGGAAATAAAGGTCAGAAACCAGTCAAGGAAAGTGAGCAGACAGTTTTCTTAGAAATAAAGCAATAGAGAAGGCGAGGGAGTTTGAGGCCGTATACGTTTTTTAATTAGTTAATTTATTTTTTAATTGACAACCAAAAAATGTATATTTATCACCTACAACATGATATTTTGATATATGTACACATTATGTAATGGCTAAATAGAGCTAATTACCATATAAGTTTCTAACTGAAGCAGCAAGGTCGGTCTGATTCTAACAAGATGATTTTTTTTTTTTTTCCTAATGGGGCATGGATCATAGGAGCAAAAAGGAAGCAATGGCAGCTAAAGCGAAAGTCAGATGCTCTTTGGGACACATCAGAACTAGAAACTAGACACAGTGGGAGAGAGGGCCAGACTTGGAATATCAATAGTCTTTTGGAGGAGGTCCCAGCAGCTGGGGAAGTCCAAAAAGATGGCAGAACCTGCCATCCAGGGGATTTGGCGACAGGTAGAAGCTGGAGGTCCAGGTAGGCAGGTGGTGCATATAGAAGGGCCAGAGGTGAGCAGTACCTGGCTCCCTGGCAGGTGGGCAGAGCACAGGAAAAGGGTATGTTGACAGTAGCAGATAGAGTCCCAGACCTGAAGAAAAGGGATCAAATGGACACTTTTGTCTTTAAAACAATTGTAGCTGGCAGGTAGGAACAAAGGGAAAAAATGAGAGGGAAGACAAGTACCTGTGTCTTGTAGCCAAGGCACGAAGCTGGGCCTGGACACGTGGAAACAAGGAAAATAAATATTCAGGATCAGAGAGGGGCAGGAAAGAAGGCAAACTTGATATAAATCCTTAGCACTAGAGATGCTTTGCTTTCTCTTATCCAAGGACAAAGGGAATCACAGAAACTACAGCAAGAGGTACCTTTTGATTGTGAGGATGGAAAAATTAAGAGGTCCCAGAGTTGGAAGATACAGGATGCAGCGAGACAGATAGTACACAGACCTAAAGTGGAACAGGGATAGGATATAGGGCCAAGAGGAAGTCTTACAGTATCCCCCTAATACAATGGTGTCCTCGGTTCCCATCTGGATCCCAGATTTGTAGCAATAGATGCAGTGGAGTACTCAGGAATTTGCAGGAGCATATGTGTAATCTCTGGGTTCCTGTTGTTGTTTTTCTGTTGGTATCTTTCTAGTTTATGCTGAAAAGTGGTTGATTTAAAACGTGTCCTCAAACTCTTTCACACTCCTTCTATCAAGAGGTGGAGCCGAATTCCTCTCCCCTTGAATACAAGTGGCCATAAGAGACCTGCTTCTAAAGAATGGGACGCAGACAGGAGTCACACTGCACGATTTCCCAGGCTATGGTAGAAAAGGTGACACAGATTCCTTCTGGCTCGCTCTTGTTGCTCTTCTTTTTGAAAACTACTCTCTGTGCTGTGAAGGCCAAGTCACATGGAGAGGTCAGCTGTGGTTGTTTAATTGCAGTCCCCACTGAGGCCCCAGCTGACAGCTAGCACCAGCAACTAGACATAAGTGAAGAAGTCTTTGAGATGACTCCACATTCAGCCACCATCTGATTTCAGTCACATGTGAGATCCTAGTAAGATCTGCCTAGTTTAGTTCAGTCAACCCCTAAAACCATGAAATCACAATGATGATGATGATGAATAACTTGTTTTACACCATGAAATTTGGAGTAATTCATTACACAGCAGTAGATAACTAGAATGATTTGGGTACCTTAAATGGGGGTGCTATTGTAACAATAACAGAAACATGGGCATTGGCTTTGGGGCTAAACCATAGGCAGATGCTAGAAGGGCCTTGAGGAGGCTGCTGGTGAGGGGATAAAGGAAAGGGAGGAGAAAGATTATTGGACTCTGATGGAAAGATACTTGCTATATAGCAGCAAAACTTTTTTTTTTTTTTTTTTTTTGAGACGGAGTCTTGCTCTGTCGCCCGGGCTGGAGTGCAGTGGCCAGATCTCAGCTCACTGCAAGCTCCGCCTCCCGGGTTCACGCCATTCTCCTGCCTCAGCCTCCCGTGTAGCTGGGACTACAGGCACCCGCCACCAGGCCCAGCCAGTTTTTTGTATTTTTTAGTAGAGATGGGGTTTCACCGTGTTAGCCAGGATGGTCTCGATCTCCTGACCTCGTGATCCGCCCGTCTCGGCCTCCCAAAGTGCTGGGATTACAGGCTTGAGCCACCGCGCCCGGCCTAGCAGCAAAACTTTTAACAGCACTGTTGCTTACAGTAATATAAAAAATAGAAATGTATCCAATGAGTTAGATAACTTAGCTAAAGAGGTTTCCAGAGTGTGAAAGTTGCCTCCCAGCTTCTCTAGCTGCCTATAATAAAATGGCACAGGAGAGAGATGAACTAAAAGCAAAAACAAAACCAAGAACAACAAACCCCCCAAAACTGTTAAGTATATCACAAATGAGCCACAACTTGCTGGGTTCAAAAATAAAGATGTTTTCTCATTTCCAGCTTCTCCAGGTGGTAAATGTTTTCTCTTGCCATTTTTTCAATATTGCAAAATCATACCCAATCTTCCTAATTAAGTATAATAATAGCTGGCTTTCTTAGATGCCCTTTATTAGGTCAAGGAAATGTCCTTCTATTCCTAGTATGCAGAGAATTTCTAATGTGAAAGAGTGCAATGTTTTGTCTAATACATTTTTTTTCATCCATTGAGGTACTTGTTTCGTATTGTTAAAAACTAAAAGTTTGCTGATAGGTGGGCTGCATTCAGTGATTTCCAGATATTAAATCAGCCTTCCATTCTTGAGT